ATTACTTAGTATTCATATGGCGAAGGCATAGTCTTCTTTTTTCTCTCAAATAAAAACCTCATTGGCGCCAAGCGTGAGGGAATGCTATACGTTTGGTAAGTTGTCCTCCGGCCAGGATAAAAGATCCCATTGAAGCAGCTAATCCTATGCATATTGTATGGATATCTGGTCGCACAAATTGCATAGTATCATAAATGGCGATCCCAGGTATTACCCAGCCCCCAGGAGAGTTTACAAACAAATATAGCTTTTGTTCTCATCCTCCATACTGAGATACATCATAAGACCAATAAGTTGATTCGAAAGATCGGTACTAATCCCTTGGCCTAAAAAAAGTAATCTTTCTCGATAAAGTCGGTTGATTAGGGTAAAATTGTATCCCTTAGGAACCGTACATGCGCCTTTTGATGCATACAGTTCAAAAAAATTGTGAATCAATGTATAGATTCCAGTCCTCTTTCTTTTTTTCTACAAGGGCTCTTTCTTACTTCTAACGAAAGGGCTTTTCTTCGATTTTTCAATAAAGACGAGTTTTTACTCCTTTTTGATATTTTTGATTTTCCATTATAAAATTCGAAGTTATAAGAAAGGGTCATTAAACTTATCGAATTAACTTCTCATTGATGTATTCTTTCATCGAGATTTAACCCAAACCGCGATGGTATTTTCTTGTTCCTGAATGGGTTTGTTTCATCTTTTTAGGTTTATGCTCTACTCCGGGTAAAGATCCGCCCTATTTGGATTTGTACATATAGGACAAATGCTCTCATTACCATTTCTTTTTGTATTTCTTTTTTTTTTTGCAATTCATTTTATACTAGTTATTAGAGTTGAGATAACTTTGCTTGACAATTAGGATCTCTTTACAAAGAAAAAATATAAATAGCAATCATAGATATCTTACCAATCCAATTGGGTTTTTTCTAAACGGAGCCTGGATACTTCATTTATTTAGTCCAACCAAGCCAACCATAAATTATTCTAATTGATAATAGTAATATGAATCCCCTCAAAAATGGATCTAATTGCACTTCACGCTCCAATTTTTTGATAATTCAATTTATCTTTCTTGGGCGAAACGGGGGATATCTCGATCGGGGGAGAGAACGGGGAAATACCATATGACCCAATATATCTGACAAGTCGCACTATACGTCAACCCAAGATGAAATTGGATCTCCAGGATTTCGGAATAGAACTTTTGGAACACCAATAGGCATTAAATGAAAGAACGAATTAAATACTATATTTCACTTTGAGGTGGAAACGTAACAATTTTTTTTATTGTCTTTATAATATTCATATTGGTTTTTATCGTATTTATTCTATCCATAGATTCTCAAAATTCATAAAGAAAGACAGAATGAATAAACTCAAATTATTACGAATAGGTCTTTCTAATGATAAATAAGTATGGACTCATTCGCTCATAGAAAATGGGATCAACTCCCCCATTGCGTATTGGTACTTATCGAGTATAGAATAAATCTGCTTCTCTTTGTTCCTACGAACAGAATTGTTCCATTATTATCAACAGAATAGAAACCCTTGTTCGGAAATAATTGACTCAACAAGAGTGGTCCATAGGATAGTCATATTATAGTCTTTTCCAATGCAATAAAGTTACGTAGTGTTCATTTATCCTTGATATAAGGGGTATTTCCATGGGTTTGCCATGGTATCGTGTTCATACCGTTGTATTGAATGATCCCGGTCGGTTGCTTTCTGTTCATATAATGCATACAGCTCTGGTTGGGGTATACCAAGTCATCAACTTCATGAGATTCTATGGTTCTAACTCTTATCTTTATTCAATATTTGTCAACTTATTACTTATAGAAATAAAATTTGAATACATGTGTATACGAAGTTTGTTATATTTTAGGTCTCGAATTGAAATTTTGCTTTAGGCCCCCAACTACGTTGAGCCTCCCCTGATAGGAAATAATGAAAAAATAAAACGACAACATACCTTCACATCATTCTAAAAAATCTTGCAAATACAAAGTGAAAGATAAAATCACATCATCAATAATTTAACTACTTGCTTGGAACATGTAGCTCGTCTCCAGCTTTGGCTACAATTCCTAATCTACCTAGTAATCCTAAGGACAAGGGATAGCTTACTTAGTCTAGTTAGGTCTCCTAGGTAGATACAATTTGTATTACTATATGTGTGTGTATATATATGGTGGTAGACATATATAGAGGGCAAAGAAACATCAGAGAGATAAAAGAGGCAGCAACTCATTAACGTTGCTGCAGATTTCAGCTTTCCTTCATGTTCTATTATGGTATCAGAACCTAACACGGACTTATCGTCCACCTCTCAGACGACTATGGCTCAAGCGAGCAACTCGTCTCCCTCCCCTCTCAACAACGCCCATCACTATATCTCGATAAAACTAACCTCTACAAACAACCTTTTCTGGAAAACACAAATTTCTCCGTTTCTTCGAGGACAAGATCTTTTTGGCTATATTAATGGTAGTACCATCTGCCCAACACCTCATATTGAAGGAGCTTTCCTTCATGCTCTATTATTGCTAATCTTCATGTATTAACAATATCATCAAAACGACAAAAAACATACCTTCACATAATTCTAAAAATTCCTCTAAATTCAAAGTGAAAGGTAAAACCACATCATCAATAACTTAAGTACTTGCTAATCTTCATGTATTAACAATATCATTAATAATGAAAATGAAATCAAAAGAAGAGAAATGTATGAAAGAAAATAAAGAATAAAGAAGACAATAACATACATATATATCTTCCATCCAATCTGCATCTATGTATGTTTGTATCCGTAAAATAGAAATTATTTATAATTCCATTTGTAGACCTTAGAAATTCTTTACCCTTCATAAATATGTATTATTATGAAAAAATGTAATTGTCCATAAATATGAATTATGAAAGGCTGTAACGGTAACAACAAATAAGGAGACTATTTTTTAAATTAAATTATTAATTAAGGAAATGAGATAAAAACTTAAAAAATAGACAAAAAAAGAATATGATATTTGGCCAAAGAGAGGTGCTACATCATTTTTCTTTATCTAACTTTATAATGTACATAAATTGGAACTGTTGAATTGAATTAAACGAAAAGTTTGTGACTTTTGAATTTCTATAAATAAGAATTAAATTGAATAGAATGAGGGAAATGGCAGAAACGTGCAAATTGAAATAGCGCAAAAGAAGGAAAAAAAGAATATATAAATTGAATACATAAAATTCTCTTTTGGACAAAATTAATAAGAATCTATATATAAGAGAGGAATTTACGAAAATGTAATCAATTCAAATAATAAGAAAATAGATGTTACATATATTTAATATTGGAGATCAGAAATTTAAGAATTAAGAAAATATAATAAATATAAATAATAAGAAAAACTTCAAAATTTTGAGAAAAATAAATAAATAGTGATAGTGAGAAAAATAAATAAATAGTGATAGTGGCCATTGAAACATGCCACGTCAGCTTAGCTTTATTAATATATATATATATATATATATATATATATATATAGATTAAAGTCAACAAAAATTATAAGATAAGATATTGTAGTCGAGATAAAAGGTTGGCAATGTTTGGCTGGGTTTCACAAAGCTGATAAACCTCTTCTTCCAGCTCAGTCTCGCTATCTCGGTGTTGTTCCTTTGACGTCTGTGAGTTCGCTTTCATCACTGCTCTGGATTTTAGGTTTTGATTTGAGCTCTCTTTTTGTAGTTGATGTTGTTTCTTCCCCCGATTTGGGAATTCATAGTTCCTCCTTTGATTGCATGTGTGAACTTAGTTTGTGATTTTGGCTTGTTTAGCTGTTCAACAACCTGAAATTTCTGGTTATTTCGGTGTTCAGCGATTCCGATGAATTTTGATCGATCTTGGAGGCAGGAGGGGACCGATTTTATTAAGGAATGACTAACAAGATGTCTGAAGTTCGAGTTGCGAGCCTGAACTCGCTCTTGTTAGCCCGTGCTACATTCCTATATGCGACTTACCAAAGCAAATTTGGTTTATTATATTTATTGAAATACAACCTTCAAATGTTAAACTGAGTTTTCATCGTCCTCTCCAGTTCATTTAAAGTCATCCTCACCCTCAAATCTTAGAGTGAGTTTTCATCGTCGTGTCCAGTTCATTCAGTTTAGAGAGTTAGGACTTAGGAGAATTGGAGAATGATAATACAAAACTACGAGAAGTTAACCCGTGCAACTACGTTAGCTCTACCCACCAAATTTAGGCTAATAAAAAGAAATTGCATTAGAATTTGCTTTAGAAATAATACTGATAGGTATATTGTTTTTTCAACAAATCCATTAAGAATTGGAATAAACTTTTGTGGAAATCTAATATGCTAATGAGGTCTCTTTATATATCTTCCACCTCCAATAAGAATCATGTTACTGCACTAATGAAACACCAATATGGATTAGTTTGACATTTTATTCCTAGGAAATTTGATATAGTAACTCATTACTTACCTGTTCAAAAAGATAATAAATTTAGTAGTTTCCATATTTTTGTTGTTGGTTCAGTTGAGCTGCAGTTTTCCTTTACTTGTTTTTATTCAATTTAAATCCTTTCAAGTTGACTGCTTTAAGGATATTTACCAGATTGTTGTACCAAAACAAAGTTAAACCTCCCAACAACGTCTCAGTCCCAAACAAGTGATATATTCGAAACAACCTAATTTTATTTGAATACAATCATATCTGCACATCCAAGTTTATTAGACTTTACTTCATCTACGTTACTGTATTTTAGAATATAATTTGAGTTTGCTTTGTGTTCCGGCATTACTTTGCAAATTCGATATTGCTTATTTACATGTTTGAATTTTCATCTTGAGAAGATGTATAATTGAATTTTGTGTGGAGACATAGGGAATTTCCCTATTGACTTGCACCCAAGTGTGTGGCCTAAATATATATATATATATATATATATATATATATATATATATATGTGGGTTATCTACTTACAGAATACAGGAGAGACAGCCCACGCACTTACAAAGATTAGTCCAACAGATATCTGGAGCCATTCAAATAGCCAAGGACGTTTCCCTCTACATTTAATACTGGTGCATAAATGGGTTGGTATAATCCGACTATGGCACTCTCAAAACCACCATTGCTAGTTCCATCCAACTCGTGGGTTTTGAGGGGTAAGAAGGTAATTGAATGTAGAAGAAATTACCCATTGATTGGAAGGAAGAAGGAAAATTTAGTGGGTGTACATTTTGTGGGTTGTAAGGGAATGCTCAGACTGAAGGTAGATACAGAGAAATTGAATACACTCTAATTTCAAATTTTACTTGTGTTTCCTCTTCTCTTCGTTTGTTGTTTTTCTTATATAGGTTTCGGCATCTTCAGGAGAAGGAGAAGAAGCCGAGCCAGGGCATATAGAGGAATTCAGTTGGTCTTCTGTTATTTTGCCGTAAGTTCGACACCTTTTTTCTGAACAAGAGTATAAATAAGCAATTATACCTATATTCAGAACTTGGGTATTTCATCATTCATTATTAGTTCTTGACCAATTAACTCAATAATTGACAAAATTCAATAGTCTCTATATTCATGTATGTGATATTAAAGCCACAAGCTGTTTTCACCATCCTTGTTCTCCATTTAAATTCAAAAGGATCATGTAATCTAAAAATAATAATCATTTACCCAATAAAATACTACTAGTATCATGGTTTTGCCTTTTCAGATGGTATGCAAAAATAATACTATTGTGTCAAATACAGTTTTATCTTCCCAGCCCTAGGCGGTTTATTATTTGGCTATGATATTGGTGCCACCTCAGGTGCTACCATCTCATTGCAGGTAATTCTCAGTTTCATTGACCTGCTTTACTCTTCATGTACCGTCAATTATGGATTTATTTTTAAACTGATTTCTCAGTCGCCTGAGCTTAGTGGAATGAGTTGGTACAACCTCTCAGCTGTTCAGCTTGGTCTTGTGGTATGCTTTCTATATATGTTGCATATTCCATGACTAATTACTGCTCTCAAATATCAAATTTTTGAATATCTATTCTTGGATATATATATATATAGGTCAGCGGTTCCCTTTATGGGGCTCTTATTGGCTCCATACTCGCCTACCCATTTGCTGATTTCCTAGGTGGAGTTCAATTACTTAAAGTTTTGCCGATACACAAATAATTATATTAATTAACTTTTCTTTTTTGGGTTTTGTAAAGGAAGGAGGAGGGAACTGATCATAGCAGCCATTTTATATTTGGCTGGCGGTTCACTAACTGCCTGTGCTCCAGGACTAGGGGCACTCTTGTTGGGTCGGCTTGTTTATGGACTAGGAATTGGCTTGGTAGGTTTTGGTTTGCTTTTTATTATCTCAGTTCCACCTTTCCATATATGTTTATCTCTGTCACAGCTTAATCTATTGGATGACCAAGTAGCTGAGATTCTTCATCTCAATAGGCAATGCATGGAGCACCTCTATATATAGCAGAGACTTGTCCATCCCAAATCAGAGGGACATTAATCTCTTTAAAGGAGCTGGCAATAGTACTGGGTATTTTGGTATGTTTATCTATCTATGTTTATCTCTTATATTCTAATATCATCTAAGAGAAATAACGGATCACATTGAACGATGGAATTTCCAGCTGGGTTATTTTGTAGGTAGCTATGAAATTGATGTCATTGGAGGGTGGCGTTACATGTTTGGATTTAGTGCTCCAATTGCTTTATTGATGGGGTTTGGCATGTGGACTCTCCCACCATCTCCCAGATGGTTACTTCTGAGGGCAATTCAAGGTAAAGGACCATTGCAGGAATACAAAGAGAATGCTATTGGAGCATTGAGCAAACTGAGAGGCCGCCCTGCTGGCGATAAAGTATCTGAAAAACAAATAGAAGATACTATTATATCATTGAAAACTGCCTACACAGATGAAGAAGCTGAAGGAAATTTTCTCGAGGTATTGCAAGGACCAAGTTTGAAAGCATTTACAATTGGAGGAGGTTTGGTCCTATTTCAACAGGTAAAAACAGTTTGAGATTGAGCTACTCCTTTTTTCTTGTCATACTCTGCGGTTTTCATCAAAATAGTTTCTTGGTTTCAAGCTTATGTGGTAGTTTTTACAGATAACTGGACAGCCAAGCGTTCTGTATTATGCTGGTTCAATTCTTCAGGTAGCTACACTCTTTTAACTTTCTCCTTATAATAATATGATCTTGCATAATGTAATTTTAAAGCAATTTGTTCCTAGAGTGCTGGTTTTTCTGCGGCTGCAGATGCTGCTCGAGTTTCAGTCGTTATTGGTATATTTAAGGTAAGTTGAGTAACTGGAGCCAGGAAAAGTCTTTTATCTCTCGTTCAAGAATATTAACCTGAGTCTTTTTATCAGAAGGATTGATAATTTCCCTCTAATACTCTGACTCTTTGTTTGCATCGAGTTTACTTATTCTCCTGCAGTCACTGATGACAGCAGTCGCTGTCCTAAAAGCTGATGATCTTGGGAGAAGGCCATTGTTGATTGGAGGAGTCAGTGGGATTGTACGCATCTAATCATAGGATTATACTCTAGATACTTATCATTTTATATATAGGTCATATTTCTACTTGTTGGTTTGATTTCTGAGAGAAAGTGTTGCTATTTGTGTGATGTGATCTACAGGCCCTATCATTGTTTCTTCTTTCAGCTTATTATAAATTTCTCGGCAGTTACCCTTTCGTTGCTGTTTCTGCTCTGCTTCTCTATGTGGGATGCTACCAGGTGATGCTCTCATATACTCATACTTGCTGGCGTAAACAACTCTAATTTGTAGGTGTTTCTTGGGAAGATTCACTATTAACTTAACAAGGGTATTGACCTTAATCTACTAATCAAATTCCTAGTTATTTCAGACAACCTGTTTCTCTTCTCTTCTCTTTAATATGTAACACGTGAAGTTTATACCCCAGATCCATAATCTTGTCAGGAATTTACCTTATTGGAAGTAGTCCCCTAGTGGTAAGAGTGCAACTTGTGATGTGTGGGTTAGGCACAGGTCATGGATTCAAACCCTGCCATAGACAAACACTTGGTATTTAAGTGGAGAAGGGTAAAGGGGGCCGCCATTATCCACCTATTTTCGAAATATATGCCACTGACCTTCGGGGATTTCTCATTTTTAAAAGAGGCTTTTGTTAATTTATTAGTAGGTCGACATAATCAATCTAGTGTACTTGGCAAGTTAATAATATCTCACAATTGAGTAAAGTTTTTTTAATTACGTAACTTTTCCTTATCTCAAAATTAATTAATTCTTCTACCCGATCAGTCAATCAACTAAACCTCAATCCTAACTTGTGTCTGGCAAATGAATTCTCTGCATCCAATCCGTTATATTATGGCACACTTCATCCTAATACTATTCAGTAACAATTTTTTATTTTTGAAAATAGATTCCTTTAGGTATTAGTGAGAAAAATATGTCTTAAGTTTTCTCATATCCAATTGCAATCCTAGACAATGTATTGCATAATATGGATTTGTTGATAGTCAATTGCTATTCTATATGGATGTCTTTATTTTCAAAAGCCACTTCAAAATCAGAGCACGACATTTTTAATTTGAAATAATCTGAGTGACATGTTAATTAATGCTTTTATTCCCGAAGATTTTGATCATTAGAGATTGAAAAGGTACATTGTTTATGAATGACATTCTGCACTGAAGTTGTATCTTATAAACTTGGCATGTGTATGTCTTATGAAGTGATTGATTGTAGAGTTTCAGTTAAGTTGGACCATTTTGGTTCAATTATGTTGCATGAACTAGGAGAGACTTTATTCGTATAAGTTTTTTATCTTTAAATAACCATATAAAATTTAGTTAGCATTTTAAGCTATGATGATTATAGTACCAGTGAGAAAAGGTAATTGCTTAAATATATATTTTTTTATATTAGTAACCAAGCATTATATGATATTGAATGTAGTGATTGTTAGTGTGATAAATGACCTCATTGAAATATGTTTGTTCCATGGCATTGAAGATGTCTTTTGGGCCTATTAGCTGGCTTATGGTATCAGAGATTTTCCCACTCCGCACCAGAGGGAAGGGGATAAGTCTAGCTGTTCTTACCAATTTTGGTTCTAATGCGATAGTGACCTTTGCCTTTTCACCTCTAAAGGTAAGAACTTGTTCTCCTGCAAATGTCAATTCCACTGTAACCTGTGTTAGATTTGTCATGGTTTCCGTTTTGCAGGAGTTGCTTGGGGCAGAAAATCTCTTCCTTCTATTTGGAGTGATTGCTTTGTTGTCACTTGTGTTTGTGGTCACCTCTGTTCCAGAGACTAAAGGCTTGACCTTGGAAGAGATTGAGTCCAAAATCTTGAAGTGAAGACATAGTTTTGTGTCCTTGAGATCACAAATAGAATAATTATCTCTTCTTTAATGTATATCAATTCTATCAGAATACAATGCTTGAAAACTTGTATCTAATATTGATGACTTCGCAATTCTGCTTCCGTTTGGGGATTCTTCTTGTGCTACTCTATATATATTGTTTTTGTTGCCGCTCTGATTTGGCGAAGCAAATGTGGGGACATAACATTGTAGGTGTAGCATATGATCTATATCTATACTACTTTAAAAATCATTAACTCTCTAATTTAAATATTAAATTATTATAAAACTCTCAATATAAAACACCCAATTTAGTATATTTTCTATATTTTATATTTATTTATATTATATTAAAAGCAAACACTTTTTCATATTAAAGGATTGTGACTTTTTCAAGAGTTATGGTTTATCTGAAGGTTGTGACTTTAAAATGCAAATGCTTTCATTAGTGGATTAAACAAGGTATAATTATTTATGTTTAAGAATCCCTAAAGCCACCTCTTTATTATCTTCCTCTTCTTTTGTAATGGTCCTGAATGTCATTTTTGGAGTTTTCCGGAAAATTACTATTTTACTATCATGATAGTTGCCCCAAGTTGTGTTGGATCAGTTTTTGAGGTTAGATTGGAAACTGGATCGAAAAGTTGAGATTCTTGGAAGTTTTGGAGTTTTGAAAGTGTTTAAGTTGAAATGGTCGACTTTAGTTAATATTTGGAGTTTCGAGTCGCATAATGGAATGCTATCAATTCCATCGGCTCCAGAATGTAACTTTTGGGTTAGTTGGACTATTGACTTAGGTATTGAGGTATTTAAATGAGTTTTGGAAAAGTTTTTTGTATTTTGAAAGCTGAAAGCATAAGATAGTTGGTCAAAGTCAACACTTGGTGATAGCAAGCTCGAAATGGAATTTCGTCCAGTTCCATTAGCTTCGGAATGTGATTTTAAGTCTAGGTCCCAAGACTTTTGGTTTGATTTTGAGTCATTAGACGAGATGTGGGAAAAGTTAAGGCTAAAGTTTGACTTTAGTCAATGCTTGAGGTTAGAAAGGTCATTTTCGAGTTTTGACAATTCCACTAAGTCCAAATAGTGATATTTGGTCTGGTTGAAGGTTTGGTTCAATTCTTGAAGCTTTTGGATGAGTTTCATGTCGCTATTTGAAAATTTGGAGATTCTTCAAGTTAGAGTTGACTTTGGTCAACATAAGGTTAAAGTGACCTTGTAACACTCCAGAAACTAGAGCTTAACACGAGGGTTAGAGTCGTAAACATAACTCCCCGTACCTAAAAATAAAGGGCTTAGTGTTAGAACGTCAAGGTACGACCCCAAGGACCAACCATGGGTCCTTGAGGAGGACCCTAAAAAATGCATGGATAGTGACCAACGAAAGGGACCTACGCACTGTTGGTCAGTCCACGATCGTGGGTGAGGGCCGTAGGTCAAGCCTGCAAATGAGGCTCTCTGAACCCCAACCCACGTTTCACCAGCACGGGCCGTGGGTCCAACCACGGTCCGTCAGTGAGGGTCTCGTGGATGGGGCCAAACTCTCTGAACATGAACCACGCCTAACCACGATGGACCGTGGTTCCATACACGGTCCGTAGGTCATGGGTCTCGTAGTTCAAGTCTGGAAACTGCTTTTTGGGAGTTAAGTTTAGGGGTACTTTAGGGTTTTCCGATTTTAATTAATAACTAAGTGAGGTCGTTTTAGCCTAAATTAGATCACCTATATAAGGATTTTATATCACTAAATTAAGTCAATTACCTCATTATTTCTAAATCCCAAAACTAGTCCCAAAACTTCATCCTCTCCAAAGAAAATTCTCTCTCTAGAACTTCAAGGAAGAAGAAGAAAAAGGAAGTTGGAACTAGGGTTCAAGGAGCAAGGTTTTATTCTCAAATTCATTTGATGTCATTGCTAAGGTATGATAGCTCTTCATCCATTGATAGAAATCATCCACGGAGCCCTTTCAAAACCCCAATTTCAAAGATAGAAATCCCCAAAAGTTAGAGTTTGATTCCAAAGTCATGGGTTCCTTTTAAAAATGATTCTAATGCTTGAATTACTTTATATTATGATTGAATTAATGATTTATTATGATTTTTATGTTGAAATCCCCATATTTCCCAATTATGATCTTGTGATGTGGATTTGTGGATGAAAGAAGGATATTAGGAGATTAAGCTTGTAGTAATTGAGCTACTTGAATTATGTTAATATCCATGTCTAATGTAGTGAATTCTAGATGTATTGATTCAATATGAGCTTTGATCCTTGAAAGGCAAATTATGATATTATGCATGAATTATGAAGTTTAGTATATGCTTTAAGAACACTTTGAGAGTAAAGTGAATAAGATTATGATCCAGTTGTTGTGTTGTTGAAAGGTTATTCTCATATACACACTTATGCATGAATATGATATGATGTGAAATGTTTTCTCACAATATGCTGATTCTAGGATTGAAAGGCTTTCTCACATATTGAATCTATATGTAGACATGGACGGTGAAAGGTTATTCTCACGCATGATCTAATGAGCTATCTTATGAATTATGTTGGATTGAGTGTCAAGACATTCTTCCATGAATATGAACTTAAGTCAAGACTTAATATGAACTCCGTGGGAATTAATGCTTAGCACCGAGTGGATATTGAATATGAGATGGAAGCTTTTACGCTAGTTGAGTCCGGCTTTCCAAATGGGTTCCTTCTACGCTAGTTCAGTCCGGCTTTCCAAATGGGTTCCTCCTATGCTAGTTGTGTTCGGGTTCCCAAGTATGTATCTCATGAGTTGGAAAACTTCTACGCTAGTTGAGTCCGGGTTTCTAGTAATAATCTCCTTATCCTATAAACTATGTGCCCTCATATGTATTTAGCTAGTGGATCCACCTAAGCTAAGAGTATGGTTCTACCTTCGACAAGTAGGACAACCCCTTTTCGGTGTGGGGTAGACACCGAATTCCATGTTAGCTCACATGATCTATGTCGGTAAGGCTTAATCCCACTATGACAACAATATGAACAAGAATATGAATTATGAACTATGGTTACTTAAGAAGCTTTACTTAGTATGGGTGAGATTTATGGGGTCTTATTCATGCATTGCACAAGTATGATTTGAGGGTATTTATGACATGTTCCTCTTATGTTATGATGCTCTATGTAATGAATATGCTTATGACTTATGCTTTTTCCACTATTTTCATAATGATGTTTAAACTTAGTAAATTGCATGCATTTTACTAAAATGTCCCCTTTTAGCATGTTTTCAATGTTTTTACGCATGACTATCATACTTAGTGCATTTTTGTACTAACTCATACTTTTTCTATATTTTTTACACCAAGTGTAGGGTCCGGTTCTCAAGGTGCTAATCGTTGTGGCTAGAAGCTTGGATTTGCTTATTCTCCTAGCTTGTTGGTAAGTCCTCATGATTCAAGGATGGATGTTGTCTCTTTGTAGTTCATTTCTTGTATTTCCTTTTCGGACTATGTTGTGTGGGTTGTGTCCCTTTTCTCATTCGAATATTGTAATAGATGACTATGTTGAGACTTAGAGTCAAGACTTCCGCTTTTCTTTAAATGAAAATTTTAGACTTGAAATGCGTTTTTACTCTTATTGTTCTATGCTTATGTTATAATATGCTAAGTGACTTACATGGAGCCTTTCAGGGTTCTATGTGCCATGTTATATCTAGGGGTACCCCTGAGTCGTGACAGACCTTGTTTGGGTGTTTTGATGATTCCATTGAGTCTGTAATATTTCCAAGCTAGTAGCATATTTGGTTTGTGTTTGAGAGGTTATGGATTAGGTTTAGGTGAGTTTTTAAGCTTTTTGGGTGCTTTGGCGTTGTTTTAACAATTTGTGTTAACTAAAAGGTTCGTTATTAGTTTTAAGGATCGAAAAATTATTTCAAAACTTCTGAAAATTTGAGCATGAATTATAGGACTGATCTACAAAGTTTGGTGCATTTCCGCTAAGTCATGATTGGACTTTTATCGTGATATATGAAATAACTATTTTACCGAGCAGAAATAATATTTGACTAGGCAAACGTGTATAGAATTGAGTTTCGATTGAACGAGAAGGTCCGTATCATTATTTAAGACATTTAGGAAAAAGAATCTGGTCATTTTACTATAGTGTTAGGAAGTTACGACCTTTTAGTGAAAATTCAACGATTGGTTTCTGGTGTAAATATTGTTGTTTTAGGTATTTAAAATTTCAGATTGTGTTCATTTGATATTTTGAGGATATTGAGAGTTCTAGAGTTAGGATGGAGTGATTCTTGCACCATTCTTCTCGATTTAATATGAGGGTTAGTATTAAATCCCCATTTCAGCATTATCTCATGATTTCTTCTTCTGATTTTCTTTTCTTATCCGTGTATTACTTAGGGAAAATTGTGATTATATCAATTTGGACTCAGTTTTTGATGAAAAATGTATATTTAGGATCCTTACATTATGGGCAGACTTATTTTGGCATAAACTGGTTCTACTGATTCATTATTAATGATGTATCATGATTGTGTTATTAGGGGTTGAGTATTGATATGAAAATTATCATTTTCTTAGTATTTGAGTGGACATGCTTATTTGCATTGGTTTTAAAACAATGTGATAAGATCTATTTTGATGATTATGCCGATGGAAAATGATTTTGGCGATGCCAATGGGAAATGATTCCAGAAATTGATGAGCATGCTAATGGAAAATGGTTCTGACGGCTACATGGACTTTATGACTCTCCCATGGGTCCCAACCTGATATTCACCGGGTGTGTATCGTTAGGACATACATGCATCACTATATTTGACATCTCATTTCATTGTATTGCACATCTTGTGAACTTTGTGACTGCTTGTTATGGACTTTGTGGGTGATGAATATGAAACATTGTATTAGTGTCATGTTTATGTTGAAGTGTTATTATACGTATTGTGTGCTATATAAATTGTGAACTGTTAGGTTAGGATGACTATGTGTGGGTTGTATTTGTAGAGGTTTGATTGGAGTGTTAGGAGTACTTGTAGTCTGTATTGCTTTACTTAGAGTTATTTGTTTGCTTGCTGATGAGAACCGTCTTGTTTGATACTCACTCCTTTGCTTCTACACTTGTGTAGGTTACGAGTCTGGATCATCGTAATCTCTTTTAAGTCTGAGGCTTACTGTGGAGAGTTGTGAGGTATCTGCTTGTCATCTCAGCGGACACCTTTTACTCTTGTATTATGTTCTTGTTCTGTTCTAGAAATAAAGACATTCAGACTTGTACTTCTTTTAATCTAATGTAATACTTAGAGGTTTGTACACATGACAACCAGGTTTTGAGGTTATAATTGAGCTATATTATATTATTCGTGTTGTTGAAAATATGTTAGTCTTTTATTCTGATTTACTTTCACATTTCCTTATTTCGTTGGGTTTTGTCTAACCTGTGTTGGTGGGATAATACGGATACCATCACGACTAGTTTTTGGGTTGTGACATCTTTCTCCTGCATCAAAGATAATCAATCCTCCTCTTTTCATAATGCTTCATTTTTTCAATTTATTCCTTCCACTTTCAATTGGTAATCTCACTTTTTTAAAATACAAATATTATAATTGTTTTAGTGTTAAATATGATAACTAATGATGCTCAATATATTTTACAACAAGATATTTGGATTAATAAAGTATATGATGCTATCTATGGATCTTTAATTTCAGGGTACTCTTTGAAGGTTCCTAAATATAATGTAATCTTGTGTTAAAAAATCTTATTCGTGTTGATTGGTGCAATTATTATACAACTTAAAAGGCTTTTTAGTTTGATATCATGACTCGGTATCTTCTGTTTGACCGTCTTACAACTTTTATGCAATAGGTTGGTTTCTATTGATGTTATTTTGCCTTCGTTTTTAGAACATGTGTATTTTATTTTCTCTTATATGCTTATGCATATTTTTCTTAATCATTTTACAACTTTTAAATTTCTCACAATTTTCCCAATTGAAAGTTTAATATTTTGAATTTCATTTTTATTTTTTCCTCATATATGTGCTACATTAAAATATTTTTACTCTTGTAACTCTCTTAATTATATAAATATGCAATGTTAAGAAACTAAAAAAGTCAATTCCTTAACGTAAAATTTAATGACCTTGATATTTATTACCCACACATTTTTTTTAATTAACTCACAATTTTTTATTATCATAACGTATAAATAATTAATAATCATATTCATGACACTATTTCCATATTATAGTCCTTATAAATAGATATATTGTACGACTTTGTAAAACGTTTACGTTAGTCTTTTGGATTATGTCTTTTTTGTGCTTATTATATTCATGTTTTAGTTTGACTCGAATAATAAGCTAAAGACTATTGAATAATAATCGACTTGTGCGAGTATATGCAGACAAGAACTTGGGTCGTAGTTTGTACAACTGTAACCAATAATTTGTAGTTTGAGATATTAAGAGGGGTAAAGTCATAAATTGGAAGTATGTGACCCCTTATATGGAAAGGGGAGAAGAGAAATGGAGGAAACATTCTTATTCTTTTATATATATATATATATATATAAATAAAGAGAACCTTAGGCTCGCCTACGTGACGCCACCACAAACCATAATTCACTTTTAATTTATTTATTTTCAATACTAGCCTTTCTCTTTCATGAAAAGTTGTGACATTTACGAAAAGTTGTGACTTTTATGAAAAATTGCGACTTTAATTAAGAGTTGCAACTTTTATGAAAAGTTGTGACTTTTATGAAAAATTGTGACTTTTATGAAAAGATGCAACTTTAATGAAGAGTTGCGACTTTTATAAAAAGTTGTGACTTTTATGAAAGGTTGAAACCTTTCTGAAGAGTTGCAACTTTTTCACATAGTTGTAACCTTTTCGATATGACACAATAAATATTTGTTCACACTACCATCTGTTGTCTATAAATAGAGAGATTTCCTCTCATTTTAACAACGAAAATTTTGAACCTCCTCTTCTTCTCTTTCTTCTTCACAATTGAATATTTGTGTACTTTACTCATATTGAGTGGCTCAGTGACACCATTGCTTCTGCTACAAATCCTGGTATGCATTTTTATAATCATTAATTTATTATGCTTATGTTATTAAAGATAAATGATAAGATGTAATAATTTTCATTTCCCTTTATATCATTAATTTTTTATGTAAGATAATATAGTGTTCTAGTTTTAGTAACTGATAAATTTCAAGTGTTATTTTATATATTTCGTGATATTAAATTCTCGCGCAAAGCGTGGTTAATTTTATTAGTATAATATATAAGGGAGGCAGCAGTTGGACGACATGTGTGCTTCCGAGCCAAGGGGTGTTTTAGAGATTTTACGTGCTCTTGTTGGGATAATTTAGTACTTCTGTTGTAAAGCCTAAGCGGTGTAGTCGAGATGGTTCACTTTGTTTCGCTGGGTTTCACAAAGCTTCTTCCCCGCTGATAAACCTCTCCTTCCAGCTCAGTCTCGCTAATCTCGGTGTTCATCCTTTGACGTCTGTGAGTTCGCTTTCATCACTGCTCTGGATTTTAGGTTTTGATTTGAGTTCTCTTTCTGTAGTTGATGTTGTCTCCTCCCCTATTTGGGAATTCATAGTTCCTCCTTTCATGTGATTGCATGTGTGAACTTAGTTTGTGATTTTTGGTCAAACCTAATTTTGGCTTGTTTAGCTGTTCAACAATTTCTCTCTATATAAATGAATTTCTTGTTATTTGGGTGTTCAGCGATTCCTCTCTTTTCCGATAAATTTTCGTAAAATTTTGATCTTGGAGGCAGGAGGGGAGCTACAGTAGTACCGAGTTTATTAAATATTTCCTCTGTTTTATTCCTAACACTGGTTTCTCCCCTATAATTATTTTTAGCTCCAGTATATTAGCAGTTTCTCCTCAAAATGAACCTTATACTTGTTCAAATTAATATTTTCTACGCTTAGTGTCTTGCTGACTGATTTGTTCCTCTGTGAACATACAATTCATGTCTCTTTTCTGCTTCTCCATATATCCTTGGCTCCCTAAATATGCTAATTGATTTTATCCCTGCATATGATACATTAATAAGCCTTGTTGAGTTTGATAGGATGACTTATGCATCAACTATTCCTGCTTATGCTTAATAATCAGCATATGTAGTAATCAATCTCACGATATATAAGATGTCTGAAGTTCGAGTTGTGAGCATGAACTTGCTCTTGTTAGGCCGTGCTACATTCCTATATGGGACTTACCAATGCAAATTTGGTTTATTATATTTATTGAAATACAACCTTCAAATGTTAAACTGAGTTTTCATCGTCCTATCCAGTTCATTTAAAGTACCCCTCACTTTCAAATCTTAGAGTGAGTTTTCATCGTCGTGTCCAGTTTCTTCAGTTTAGAGAGTTAGGACTTAGGAGAAGTGGAGAATGATAATACGAGAATTTGCTTTAGAAGTAATACTGATAGGTATATTGTTTATTCAACAAATCCATTAAGAATTGGAATAAACTTTTGTGGAAATCTAATATGCTAATGAGGTCTCTTTATATATCTTCCACCTCCAATAAGAATCACGTTCCTGCACTAATGAAACACCAATATGGATTAGTTTGACATTTTATTCCTAGGAAATTTGATATAGTAATTCATTACTTACCTGTTCAAAAAGATAATAAATTTAGTAGTTTCCATATTTTTGTTGTTGGTTCAGTTGAGCTGCAGTTTCCTTTACTTGTTTTTATTCAATTTAAATCCTTTCAAGTTGACTGCTTTAAGGATATTTACCAGATTGTTGTACCAACACAAAGTTAAACTCCCAACAACTTCTCAGTCCCAAACAAGTGATATATTCGAAGCAGCATGATTTTATTTGAATACAATCATATCTGCAGATCCAAGTTCATTAGACTTTACTTTATCTATGTTACTGTATTTTAGAATATAATTTGAGTTTGCTTTATGTTCCGGCATTACTTTGCAAATTCGATATTGCTTATTTACATATTTGAATTTTCATCTTGAGAAGATGTATAATTGAATTTTGTGTGGAGACATAGGGAATTTCCCTATTGACTTGCACCCAAGTGTGTGGCCTAAATATATATATATATATGTGGATTATCTACTTACAGAATACAGGAGATACAGCCCACACACTTACAAAGATTAGGCCAACAGATATCTGGAGCCATTCAAATATCCAAGGACGTTTCCCTCCACATTTACTCGAAAATACTGAGGTAACATCTAATTCTGTTGTGCTTTTCAAGAGTATGCACAACTTTTTGAATCGTTCTGCGTGTACTCAAGCTGAATTTGTGATTCCTTTAAACTTATTTAGGTTAAAGGCTTGGATATGGATTCACTTTACATTACATCTAACACTAACATAAACCTCATGGCTGCACCAAAAGATTACTAGAAATAAAAAGCATGCCCCAAGTGCACAAATTTTTTTTCCACACCTTCAAGGCCCTCCTGGTTTTATCCCTTCAAAGTATCCACATAATAATTAAAGGAGCGGCATCCCATCCTCTGCATCTTCTTTTCCTTAGCTGGACAGAACAACCTTGAACTCTAGCTGGCATTGACCACTAATTATATACGAATATTTAGGACTAAATAGTGTTCTTCAGAATCTTAAACTTGGGATGTATTTTTTAGTACTTCTATAACTTAGGTGGTGTTAATGGCCATGAACCTGCTCATGGTGGATTCGTTGGAGAAGCGATGCTGACTGCAGCTATCTATGGACACGTTTCTGCCTCTCCAAATGTTGGTTCCTCTTTAGTACTGTTCTTTTAGGTGTAGTTCCGTCAAGGTGCCAAGATCAGCGCGATAAAGAAAGATAGATTCACAGTGGGGTGACGTGCCTAAGTTCCCTAAGTTAGTTAGCGAATACGAGTTGCCTCACTTTAATGACTTCATTGAGGAGAGACAAAGGTTGTTTTATGATATGCTATTAAGTATTACCCCCTTTGGTTAGCGTGCAGACGTATATAAGTTCTTCCCTATTGATGTCTGCCTACTGACCTGATTCAATATAGGGCATATGAGCTGTCACAGATCCCCACTCAGTGCCTTCTTATTGTCAAGATCCCATTCATCCTAGCTGTTAGTTTGATTACTGCCCTTGTCTAGCTTTACCAGTTAGGTTTAACGGACTTGACAATGCACGTAAAGGATCACCAATTATCATCCTACTTTAGGTTATATATTTTTATTATGACGACGACAATTGCAATAGCCGATTAATCATCAAAAACTGGAAGATAAGTACACACTGATATCTGATGAACTTCACAGGAAAAACCAAACTCCAAGGGCACCAAATTTTCATGACTTTTCACAAGTTATTTCTTCAATGCTATATTATAAAGGGTACTTGGAATATTGTTGTGCTTCTTATGCAGAACTATACATATTAAGGAAAAGATTCAATTGATCTTTTTTGCTTCCTTGTTGAATTCAATTTTATGAGATGCTGGCTAATCTGGGTAACAGTCACTTTACCTATGTGCCTCACTGTATTTTTGGGTTGAAGTTTGCAAATATCATTGGTTTCAGTTGCTTTCCCATATGTCTTTTCTGAATTTCACTTCCTGATGTTACATTATCTGTTTGCACGTTGCCAGGACAGGTGAATAGCAAGTTCCTTCATAGGCACAATAGTACTCATGATTTGATAAGTCATGCTTTACTACATGAAACATGTCATATTACATTCATGTGGATGTCGTTGGTCTCTTTAAATGTGTCTGCTACAGTTGAAACTTCCAAGATTTAACTACTTAGAATTCTGTGATCTCCACTTCTCCAGTATCAAATTGTTTGCACTATTTTCCCCTTTTTCCAGCATGGCAAATCAGGAGCTGCTGTAACTGACTTTCAACCAGTAAATACATGTTACTCCTTCGATTTTAATTTATGTGCACAGTTGGAATTTGTTGAATTATCTAAATTTTTATATGGTTTTTAAAGATTTTAAGTTGTTAATTATAGTGATTTATAGTATTTTTTGCATAATGTTCAAATAATTACTTCTTATGTCCCAATTAACGTGGCACAAATAGAATTTGAAGAGTTAACCAAATTTTTATGTATCTTTCAAATATTTCAAATTGTTAATTATTGTGATTTATCATATTTTTTACGTCATTTTCAAATAATATATGTTACTTTTTCTCTCAGGGGTTATGGCGAAGTAAGATTGGGTCAATAAAATCGTTATTTGTGTCCAAAATGAGGAGAAGATTCCCTATTTTCAGTGTTGTTCGTTTATATTGTACAGGTAAATTTGTGAATATTAGGGCGTAGCAATTTAAACATTTTTATTTAATTCATGGCCATTATAGGGAATGCAGAGGTGCAGCCTCAATTGTCTATTGACCTCATTAAAATAATGGACCAAAGGTTATCAGCGATTGCGAACAGGAATGCTCACCTTGAGCGTTTTTTAGATCAGGTGATTCACTCACTATTCCTACATGTTTGTTTTCATGCCTGAATCAATGTTTTTTCATTTATGGAACTAACTCTACTCTCTGCTTGCTCTACTGAATTAACAGACTTTTGTATTAACTGCACACTACACTGCAATTATCTCATTTACCCATTAATTACAGCCTGAATTGACACCTTCTGAATATTCAACGGCCAACAAAGAGCTCAGGAAGCTCAGAGATTCAGTACATCTCATAAGTGAGTTAAGGGCAAAACAGAAGGTAACTCAACTTCATCTTTCTAAATGACAAACATTGATTCTGCATGCTCTATCACCTAGGAACACCAAACACATTCTCCCTTCCTATGTTCAATCCCAAATTCTAAGGGTCTGCAACCAATTAATCATTGCAAATCTACAGTATTAAAGAAAAGCACCAAACTACTAACCCATAGTCCAATACATGAGCATCCAAGACTACTATCTAAAACATTGTTTGACATTATTAAATTAAATAAATAACAATACAACTTAAACTAGCTACCATGGTACAAGAATGAACAACTCACTGCTAATTGAAATCTCAGAAACTTCATTAGCCACGTTGCTCCCTAGTACTGACCCCAAATCTCCTTAAAGTATAAACATACTCTGTATGCATTATTGATCGTCTCCTAAAAGGTGACACGGGGCTATATACATACAAATAATAGTGCATTTATCAGTATTCTATATCATAAAGCATAAAAAGCATTTGAATTTTATATGCTATGACGAATCTCAGTTTGTCGAAGGCTCTAAAAGCACGCTGCAGTCGTTAAGCCCTAAAACAAGGTGCAAAAGATGTTGAACGCTTTACCTCCCTTAGCGGTGCTTAAGTGTCATCATCAAGGCTCTAATACATACTTTTCCTTGCCAATAGTGTAACAACACTAAATAATTGATATTTAACTTTATCGTATTCTTTTTTCAATTTCTTCGTCTATATATTTGTTATCCATGCTTACGATTATTAGTCTTGGACTACACATACATATCTATATTTTTCTTCATTTGCACCTTTATTTAGTCTAGCCCATGGTTTATTTGAGTTTTGCACCCAAAGGCCCAATGAACCATGGAGCTTTTTTATGCGCTTTACACCTTTGAAAACACCGGGAAGATTGTGTAACAATCCATGCAAGTGTCTTATTAGACCCTGTGGCACAAGTGTACCCCGTGGTTAGCATTACTATTTTCTTAAAAAACCCGGTTAGCCGAAGTTTGCTAATTCACAATTACAAGTCACACACAAACAACTATATTGGACTTCATGAGCTCTCACACGCCGTTCGAAGGTGGATGTTTTCGACGAGGTTATGGTCATGCGCTGGCGCGCTAGGGCTGCTCTAGTCGATTTTTTGAGTAGTTTTTTCTCTTTTGGGATCGTCTAGTCATTCCGACCAAACCCTAGCCAATTTTGTCCAGATTTGATTGCTGAATTAGGGTTCCGATGATTTCTAGGCTGTTTCCAGCTAAATTTGAATTTTCAGACCTAAGTAGGTAGTTTCCGACGAGTTTCTTATTGTTTTCAAGTTGTTTCGAAAAATGTATTTTGGGTGTGATGTTTTTGGCTCCAAAAATATGGAGATTGGAAGTTCAAGCCCTATAATTACTTTAGAACTCTTAGGGGTCGTTTGGTAGAAAAATAAATAATGCAGGGATTAGCAAGTAACACAAGGATTAGTAGTGCAGGGTGTATTTTTTATCAAGTCTTTGGTTCATTGCTTCTGACTTTATCTTGTATTTGGATTAAAACTCTACGAAAAGCTTCTTTCCAATTATACCCTTGCATTATTATGAGATTTTCTATTTTATGTAATCGGTCAAGGTAGATAATTGTCGGACAATATTTTATTTTTATGGCCTTCTAAGTAGCTAGGAGAAGAACAATTTTGTTGTCATGTTTGCTATTTTCTCACTTGAATTATTTGAGGATAAACAATTGTTATCTTAATAAATTAATCACTTAAAAACATTAATTTTCAATTTAGAATAGATAGATCATCTACTTTAAAATCGAAAATACGGTAAACAATAGTAAAATCGAATGAATCATGTACATTTACATATAAAAATTGGAAGTTGTAGTTTTAATATGTATGCAATTTATAAATGGTTCAAAATACAAACAATTAGAAACCACACATAAACCAACAAATAATATATTCAATTAAGATCACAAACGTCATGTGGTGATATATTTGCCTTTTCAATTAGTAAATGTTAAACAACTCACATTTTAAATATTGTATTGATATGTATTGCAATTATTTATTAACAAACAACTTTCTCTAAATAATAAAAATTGTAAGCTAATTTATTTAAATAAATTTACTAGTACAAATATAAAACATAAATTCAAGAAAATAAATAAAATGATTTGAGGGATATTTTTGTCTTTACATAGATAAGCCCATGGTATTTAATCCAATGTATTACTAATACCACCACATGGAAGGTATTAGTAATACCTCCTATGATATCATGTAGGGTGTATAACTAATCCATGGATTAGTTATACTTGGGCCTAAAAATTCTACCAAACATGGTACTAAATAATACCATACATAATACATGGACTATTTCTCCTAATACCTCCTACCAAACGACCCCTAAATGGGAAGTTCAAACTATTTAGCTTGGGTTCCTTGATTGAGTTGTGGTGCAAGGGTGAAGGTGTTCAAGATTACTTAACAAACAATGCTTGTGTGGTAGATGAATAGGCAAAGGCTAGTGAGGTCCAAAAGCCAAAGCCCAATGGGAGAAAATGGATGCTCAATTGTATAGTATCCTATGACGCTTGGCAGATTCCAAATTGATGCCTTCATTTTGCCTATTCCAGACATGTTATTTTGTTTGGGAAAAGGCACGTGCTTTATACACTTATGACATCTCAATTCTATGATGTGATATCTCGGATGACTAGCATAAAGAAACAAGAATCTGATGTCTACTTACTTGGACAGGTACAACGAATCATGGAGGAATTTGAAAATGTTGATGTCAATCACTGTGAATGTGGAAAACATCAAGAGCACAAGCATACATTGTTTCTAATTCTTAATTTGTTGGACTCCCTACTTACCATGATTCAGTGCGTGATCAGGTTTTTTTTTTTTTGATAACAAGGAAAACCCGCAGCCGCTACCCTTTGGGTGCACAGGGTAAAACCCCCGCTCCTATACAATAGCTCGCAAACCACATAGGAGAGGTAACCCACACTAGTCAAACCTGGTGCGACGAGCTCGACCTAGAAGGCAAAACCCCTTGCTTTCGAGGGTAAGGGGTTTCGAACTTGAGACCTCCAACATGAACTTGATAAGGTTTTAGCTAGTCTTGCAGTTCCTAAAATTGATGAATTATTCTCTCGTCTACTTTGTCTTGCTGCGCCTCCTAGTCACAAGGCAATTTAATCACCCACCGTTGACTCCTCTATTCTCGCATCTCAAACCATTGAAAATTAAACATATCAGTCTATGGAGAATTGGCGAGGAGGACGACGTTTTGGAAAACCTCAATCCAAGTGTAGTTATTTTCATAAACTTGGATATACTCGTGACATATGTTATATTTCGCATGGTCCAGCACCAGTTATGATCCCATTGCTCTAAAGGAATATTATGAGTTCCTTTGAAATCACGCAAGTAAGCCGTCATCTCCAGAAGTACTATGTGTTGCTCAGTTTGATCAACCATTCAATAATGCTCATATTGCCTAGACATAATATGATGAGTTCCTAGTATCAAACAAGTAAGCAAACGTCTCCACAACTAGCTTCGGTTGCTGAACCTGATGTTTCTGTTGTGGGTAATTGTTTTGCTTGTGTCACAGTTTAGTACTCTTGGATCATGGGTCATGGACTCATGCGCTTCAGATCATATTTGTGATAACAAATCACTTCTATCCGATATTATTTATTCACAATCTCTTCCTTCTATTACTCTAGCCAACGAGATCCAAACAAAACCAAAAGGGGTCGGAAAAGCCAAACTCCTATCTTTTGTCACTCTAGACTCTATTCTTTATGTCCCTGGTTCTCCTTTTAATCTGACATCGTCTAGTCGTTTGACGCGTGCTCTACATTGTGTCATAACATTTTTTGATGATTTTTTCTCATGCAGGACCGTAGTATGGGACAGATGATTGACACATGACATGAATCCCAAGGCCTTTAGCCTTTACTACCTTACTGCTTCAAATTCCTTCACAACATGCTTCGTTACAGATGCTCCAAACCTAGTTCACAAATGTTTGGGACATTCGAGTTTATCCAAGCTACAAAAGATAGTGCCTAGTTTGTCTAGTTTATCTACATTAGATTGTGAGTCGTGTCAACTTGGGAAACACACCCGTACTACACACACGTAGTACTGAGGGTCGTTCATAGTCTATTTTTTCATTAGTTCATTATGATATTTAGGGTCCTAGTAGAGTCGGTTCAACCTTAGAGTTTCATTAGTGTCATTGATGATTATTTAAGATGCACTTGGGTTTTCTTAATGAAAGATTGTTCTGAGTTATTTTCCATATTCAAAAGTTTCATTGCTGAAATACCAAATCAATTTGGTGTTTCTATTCGTACTTTTCGTAGTGGTAATGCCATAGAATACTTATCCTCCTAGTTTTAGGAGTTTGTGACTCGCCAAAGAATTCTTCACCAGACATCTTGTTCGTACACCCCTCAACATAATAATGTAGTAGAAAGGAAGAATAGACATCTCGTTGAGACTGCTCGCACTCTTTTCATTGAATCTCATGTTCCGTTGCATTTTTGGGGTGATGCACTCCTTGCATTTTGTTATTTAATTAATAGAGTGCCCTCATCTTCTATTTAAAATCAGGTTCCACATTCTAGTCACAGTTTTGCTCTATCCCTCCTTGTGTTTTTGGAAGCACATGCCTTGTTCATAACTTAGCTCTAGGAAAAGATAAATTATCCCAGTGCTCTCAAATGTGTCTTTCTTGGTTACTCTCGAGTTCAAAAAGGGTATCGTTGCTGTTCACCTGATCTCCATTGATACCTTATGTTCGCCGATGTCACATTCTTTGAATCTCAACGTTATTATACATCTTATGATAATCTTGATGTCTCTGAGGTCTTACCAATACTTCAGGTTTACATGTACTGACTTTTGAGGAATCGATAGTTACTTCTACATCTCCAGTTGTAGTGCCACCACTTCCAACTTATCATCGTCGTCCGCGTCCAACACTAGTCCCAAATGGTTCATGCCATGCTCCATACCCTGCTCCTACTATGGACTTGCCTCCTTATAACCAACTGATTGCACTTAAAAAAGGTATACCATCCACTCAAAATCCTAACCTACTTTATACTTTCTTGAGTTATCATCATCTCTTATCACCCATTATGCCTTTGTATCTTCTTTGTCCTCTATTTCCATTCCTAAGACTCTATTTCCATTCCTAAGACTATGAGTGAAGCACTTTCTCAATTTGGATAGAGGCAAATTATGATTGATGAGATACATGCTTTACATACGAGTGGTATTTATGAGCTTGTCTCCCTTTCTGTAGAAAAATCTATTGTTGGTTGCCCTTGGGTTTATGCAGTCAAAATTGGTCCAGACGGTCAGGTTGATCAGCTTAAGACTCGCCTTGTTACCAACGGGTATACTCAGATATATGGGATTGATTATAGTGATACTTCTGCTCCCGTGGCTAAAATGGCATATGTCCATCTTTTTCTATCTATGGTTGCTGTTCGTTATTGGCCTCTTCATCAGTTGGACATTTGGAATGCTTTTCTACATGGTGATCTTGCAGAAGAAGTCTATATGGAGAAACCACCTGGTTTTGTTGCTCATGGGGAGCCTAGTAGCCTTGCATGTCGATTGCGCAAGTCACTCTATGGTCTGAAACAGTCTCTTCGAGCTTGGTTTGAAAAGTTCAACACAATAATCTAAGAGTTTGGCATGACTCATAGTGGTGTTGATCACTCTGTGTTTTATCAGCATTTTGCACCAAATTTGTGTATTTATTTGGTTGTTTACAATGATGATATTGTTATCACTGGCAATGATCAAGATGGTATGAAAAATTTGAAGCAACATCTCTTAAGCATTTCCAGACTAAAGACCTCGACAAACTGAAGTATATTCTAGGTATTGAGGTTGCTCAGTCTGGAATCAGGTATTGTTACTTCAAAACACAAGTATGCCTTAGACATTCTTGAGGAGAGAGAAATGATGGGATCTAGACCCATTGATACTCCTATGGATCCGAATTTTCAGCTTCTTTAAGGACATGGGGAGCAACTTAGCAATCCTGAAAGTTATAGATGGGTGTTTGGAAAGTTGAATTATCTCACAATGACTAGGCCTGCCATCTCTTTTCCAGTGAGTCTTGTAAGCAGTTTATGACTTCCCCTTGTGATAGTCATTGGGATGCAGTTATTCATATTTTGCTATGTATAAAGTTAGCAACAGGTAAAGAAAGGACTACCCTTTGAGGATCAAGGCCATGAGCATATCATTGGGTATACAGACGCTGATTGGGTAGGATGATCCTTTGATATATGTTCTTCATCTATATATTGTGTTTTAGAAGGAGGTAATTTGGTGTCGTGAAAGAGTAAGAGACAGTGTGGTTGCTCGATCTAGTGTAGAAGCAGAATATTGAGCAATGGCTGCAGCAACTGCTGAGCTAGTTTGGATCAAACCGCTGCTGAGAGAGCTAAAATTTGGTGAAATCGGTTTAGATGAAATTTGTGTGTGATAATCAACCAGTCTTTCATATCGCATCAAATCCAGTGTTTCATGAAAGGGACTTGGCACATTGAGAGTGATTGTCACATTGTCTAACAAAAGATACTCTCAGAAGATATTGTTATAAAATTTGTGAAGTCAAGTGATCAACTTGCAGATATCTTCACCAAGTCCCTCACCGGTCCTCGTATTAATTACATTTGTAAAAAGCTAGGTACATATGATTTGTGCAATCCTACTTGAGGGAGAGTGTTAGAATATGAATAGGAATATACAATCCCACTTAGAACAAGAATAGGAATATGAATAGTATATAGAATCTTACTTGGTAAATGATTGTATTGTAGTGTCTATAAATAGGATCTCTGTGTCGTAATATAGATACACAATTCAATAATATTTTCTCCTATAATTCTCACAACATGAACACGATATGATAACCCTGAATGTTGATGTCGGAGTCTGTTAGCACATGTACCTAACATCCTTATGAATTTGTTGGAAGGCATTGTTATACATTTGGCGCAAATTGTTGTAAGCAAACACATTAGCTTTTTTTTTTGGGTGAGATATCAGTTCTTTCCTTGCCTTTCTCTTGATATTTATAATAATTTCTTGGGAAAAAGGACAAATATACCCCCGAACTATCATAAATGGTATACAGATACCCTCTGTTATACTTTTGGGACATTGGTGCCCCTGCCGTCCAAGCATATATACCCTTCATACCAACGGACATACACGTGTCATAATCTTATCCACTGACCCGACATTTATTAAATACGGATTGACGAATAAGATTGCGCTACGTGTCCCTATTTAGTCTTCCATTAGAGTGAAGGGCATATACGCTCTAGTTTTATAATGGCAAGGGCACCAATTACCCAAAAGTATGACTGAGGGTATCTACATACCATACATACCATTTACGATAGTTCGGGGTATATTTGTTCTTTTTCCCTAATTTCTTTTTTAACCCTCTATTGTCCGTAGGATCATTTGTATCCTATATTATTCTCAGTCTTGCTCTAATAGATCTTGCTATTTTGTCTTTTCGCCTTCTAGGAGATTAAGGAACTGAAATCAGTAATATCTGAATGTCAAGATGACAAAGACATGCAGCAGATGGCTTCTGAAGAATTGAGTGAAGCCACAGAAGGAGAGAAGAAATTTCAGTTTCTCCTTCTGAAGTCATTACTACCCAAAGATGATGCTGACGAGAGGGACTGCATTCTTGAAGTGAGGGCAGGTAAGGAGCTTTTCATTGAATCTGGACGTATCCGAACTTCATTTGACCTCTACTTTCATTGGTATAAAATGTGTACTCTTTTGGTAAGTCCAATATAATGATCAATTTAAAATATTTTCAGGAACTGGAGGGGAAGAGGCTTCTTTATTTGCGATGGACATATTCAAAATGTGGGTTACTAAAACATGAGTTGAGTTCCTGGATTTCCCTTGGTTCAACTAATAACTTCTCATTCCTGATGCTGATATTATTTCAACATCAGGTATGAAAAATATTCTGTGAAAAAAGGCTGGAAGTATGAGGTTCTAGAAATAGCTGAGTCTGATCTTAAAGGATACAAGGTTTGTCCATGCTTCATACATCACCTTAAATGTTACCTGAAATATATACCATTGTTGGTTTGAAATTGCAATTAACATTGTTGGATCAAAAGGAGTTTGTAAGCTTCAAATAATGGTATTACTGCCTCCAAGTAAATGATAGTGTACCCTGTTTTTATATTTCGTTCTCCCCAATTGCATGTTTTTTGACTTTGCAAAATTTATCGCCAGGAAGCTATTGCTTCTATCTCTGGAGCTGGTGTGTACGGGAAACTAAAATTTGAGAGTGGAATACACAGAGTTCAGGTAGTATCACCTTAAGTCTTGTGTTTGACTGCAGTTTATCTAGCCAAATAAGAGATTTACTTCCTTTGCAGCGGGTGCCCGTGACAGAGAAAGGTGGACGTGTTCATACCAGTGCTGTCTCTGTTGCAATTCTCCCGCAGGCAGATCAGGTGAGTGTTGCTAGTGCAATGCATGTGGACAGCTTATAAAAGAATAAATACAATTTTAAAAACTCATCAAGGGAGCAGTGTGCTCAAGGCTCCAAGATACTGCATCTAGGGACTTTAGATGCTTACCGTGCATCAGATCAAGGCTCTTCAGCACTTTTATCCTTTAAAAGGAAATGATTCTTTGCAATATTATTAATCTCATAGTTCGCATAAGCATGGAAACACTAGGGTGGGATTGGTGGGTTAAAAATCTTAGGAGGATACAGAGCATGTCCTCATGAGTGATAGCATATTCATGCACTCACAGTGTGTGTTTGTGTTATAAAATATATATACACACACAAATATACGTGCAGGGTGTGTTCTAGCATGCAACAGATGCACGTCTTGTTAACCCCTGGCTAGAACTTTCCACGGCTTGATGTCACATCCTTAATCTTCTACTAAGCACACGTGTGGCACTTGACAACTTGCTCACGATCTTGCACCATTTGCTCACAATCTTGCTATGCCAAGTCAGCCTAAGACACTAGGAATCACTAAGAGAATGGTAGAGAAAACACAAGAGAATTACTAGGAAGAACTGTGTTATAGAAAACTTTGATTGATTTTTGTTTGATGATGTTACAAATGAATACCTGATCACACCCAAAACTCGTCCTTACAAGGATTAGTGGCTGTTGCAAATATAATCCGACTTTCTTTGTGACGGGAGTCGATCCCACAGAGAACTATCAAAGCTTTCTTCTGTATCGCTAAGAATATTTTAATAAACAATTTCTCAAGGTTTATTCTTTTAATTCTTTTCGTTATGAATTTAAATAAGAACTAAAATAAGTAGAAATAATTAAACAAATAAGTAATGTATGATTTTCTTCTAGAGGAAACAACCTAGGATGATGATTTCACCGATTGTTAGAATAAACTCATAATATGCCCACTATAATCATATCGAGTTATTCTCTATCGACCATGAACCTTTATTCACTACAATTGTTTATCAACATATAATAGAGATTTCCTATCGCTATTCTCTCGAATGAACCCTAGCTAACTGATTACTCTGTTCACATAGATCGCACCAAAGTTTTGTTATCTCTAACTTCCATTTTTAAATCTTGGTCATTAATTAATCTCTTAATGCCTTGAAGTGGTGTTGTTCAACTTAAAACCCAATCTCACCGTCTCTCTTAAGAACAGTAAAATACCACGACACTGTTAATTGAGGGCCTTTCAATTAACTACAATAAAATATAGTTGAACAAATAGATATAAAGTAAAACTACTTGATTATAGTAGAACAAAATCGCTAATTCATCCAACAATGGGTTCCATCAGTCATCCTAGAAAATAATCTAGCTACACATAATGGAGTTTAAGAACATAGTATAGATTTGCATAACGAACAAATAAAAGAGTAGAAAAAAATGGAACTCTATGTTGAATTCCTAGTTATCGGCCCTTCTCCTTGTTCTTGCCTCTCAAAAACTATGTAACCCTTTGAATATCTAGTTAATACGCTATTTATACTGCACATATTTAATCTCTTGACGAAAATAACCTTCAGCCAAAATAATTCGACCCTGTCACAATTTTGGCTGTATGCTCCGCGAGCCAGATAGCGTGGCCGCTCCGCGCATGGCCAATTGCTATGTTCCTCAATTATTTCTTCATAAGTCCTTTAGCTCAACGACTCTTTGATGCTATCTTGATCATTCTAATGGGTTTCTACTCAGTCTTCGAAGCTCCGTACCAAGTTTGTATTTGCTCCAAACATGCCTATTAGCTCTGGCAAATCTCCTATCCAAAGAAACACACATAATAAGCACATAGCAATAATAATAGTGATCAAGTGATGACAAAAGAAAACATATGAGGCCTTTACAACGATTAAATGTATGCATTTTATGCCGAATATCAATACCCCTCTTTATGCTACTCACTTAGGTGCTAATATGCAAATAATAATTGTTACACAAGTCTCTACATATTTACAAATAAACACATTTTCTAAAATTCTCTACATGCCTAGAATATTCTAAAGCCTTTCTATCAAGACCCAAAGTATACCATAGGCGTAACATGACATATAGGACCCCGAGAAGCCCTACACAAGCCACTTAGCATACATCGTACAAAATAATAGAATTTAAAGAATTCAAAGGACAGTCTTATATCATAAAGAGTTTGACAAAAGCGGAAGTCTAACATAAGTCTCAAAGGCATCTAATACATCATAAGGAAAGTGATTAGGACGTAACCCATGCATCACATTCAAGTCTGAAATGAAAATGACATAAAGCAATAAAGGAGTTTCGGTCCTCAGAACATGAAGACTCACCAATCTTCAATTGAAGCACTCAAGGGATGTCTAGCCACGAGTGCGTGGAATAGGAGCATCAGACCCTACATTAGTGAAACAATGTAAGCACAAGTATACATTAATACATGGAATGTACTAAGTATGATAACAATGCATAAGAGTTATGAAATCATGCTAAAAATGACTTTACATGACATGCAATGACCAAGCTAAATCATAAAATAACATGTTAGAAAATATGAGTCATAATCATGGTCAATACAAGCTAAACATCTTTAATACACATTTGAGATACTTTTAGAAAGTAACCTTAATTCGTTATTGTGGGAAGTTTGCCATTACCCGACATAGACCCTGTGAGCTATATCATGGAATTCGGTGTCTATCCCACACTGAAAAGAGATGTCCTTACTTGCCAAGGTAAGAATCATAAACTTGAGCTAAACTGGATCCACTAGCTAATGTCTATCTAAGACAAACCTATGGTGACACATAGTTATGGGACATGGGTAATCGCCGCTAGTCCACTCGGTGCTAGGCATAAATCCCACGGAATAGTCATTAATCATTTTTATCTTATTATCCATGGAAAGTCACAATTAAGTAGCCAATTCAAGCTAGAGTCCATTTAAAATAACTCCTAAATCTAGATTCAACTTTGGTTGAGAAAATCTTTCAACCCTATGAATCCTTCTTGTGAGAATAACCTTTCACAACAACAACATCGATGCTTTGCTCTCAAAGCAATCTCAAATTATTCATATCAATTCCATAGAAGGAACATGCATATCTTCATAAATTCATAATTCATAGTTCATAAACTTAATCATGTGCTCATAGTCTAAAGTTCATGGGGCATGCATGGGTTCATATGAATTTAACTCCAAAACATGTAATTACCTCAATTCATGCATAAATAGATAGAAAACAATCAATTTCATCAAGATTGAAAAGAACCCATGAACATTGACTTAAACCCTAACTTTGATTGGGTAATCTAGCGTTGTAAAATTGGAGAATTTAAGAACCCCATGGAGGAAAGGACTTTGAGAGAATTTGGGAGGATGAATTTGGTCAACTTTTGGGAATTTAGGAGAATGAGTTCAAATGGGTAAATTGGGGGCTTAGAACGTTTATATACGGCCTATGTGTAAACGACGTAGTATTGAGTTAAAACAATTAGGGAAAGACCCCAAAAGCCCTTTAAAAATAACTGTTGAACCCCACCTACGGTTTGGACCTATGGTCCTTCTATGAACTGTACTGGTCAACCGTAGATAGGTTACTGGTACCTTAAAATTCATCCACCTTTGACGGATCCCATGTACTGTTCGTAGGTCTTCCTACGGTCCGTACATGCCATCTGTAGAACCCAACTTTGACCTCAAAATTTCACTAAGTCTGGGACTCACCTACGAGACCTATCTACGACTCTTACAAAGGTTGACGGACCGTCTTGGTGAACTGTACAAAGGGTACTAGGACTTGTTTTTAAAAAAAATATTTTCCCACTACCTACGGTTGCCATCTATGGCCCATAGAAGCTTTTACGGTCCGTAGATGAGACTCGTAGATACAAACACCAGCCCAAAAACTGCAATTTTCCTTCTTTTCCAAATCCGAGGTGTTACACTTTCAAGAATTCTTCCTTGATATTCTAGAGTCTTTCCTAAAAACTCTCCATGGCTTTAGAATCTTCCCCCAAATGCTTATCATGTAGGCTTCTACATGGACAATTTTATGCCACGTGGCGCCTAAGTGGCATGATGACTTGGGAGGTCATCACATTGAGCCTTTAAAACTTTATACCTCCCTTATAAAAATAAAATGACATACTTAATGCCTCCCTCATAAAAACAAAAGACAAACTTTATGCCACCCTTGTAAAAATAAAAGGCATACTTTATGCTGTATTATTTAAATTTCATGTGTCTTGTTTGACACACCTTAGAAGAAGGAAAGCAAGGAGAGGGGGAAGGGGTAGAGAACAGGCGCATGCGCAATGTTCAAGTGTATTTGGATTAGATATATCCACAAGTTTCTTTTTAGTTTTTAGTTGATCATTTAAGGTTGACAGTGATGTTACCTGACTGCTTACTGCTTTGTTAATCTTTGAATCTTCGTCAGCTAGATGTGAAGTTGAGGAATGAAGATTTGAGAATGGACACTTACAGATCAGGGGGATCAGGAGGTCAGCATGCAAACACCACAAACAGTGCTGTTAGAATCACTCACGTGCCATCAGGAATAACTGTTTCCATACAAGATCAGCGCTCCCAGCATATGGTAAAGTGTGCAACCTTTTGGCAGTTTTTCCCTTGGCCGTGTGGTTTGTTCAAAGTCTTAGCATAATTCTGAGCCGCAATCTTTATGTGTTCCATGCATTGTTTTGACTAAACGTCATGACAATCTATGGTAAATTATACTTCTAATTTCCTTCTACTTTTCTCAGTTCATCTTGTTGATATGTTATGTGCAAATCACATTAGTTTTTTTTTTTTTTTTATGACTTTCTTCTTGTACTATGTTTTGTATTACTGTTACTTCTTCACCGACCTTTGACAGTGCAGTTGAATAGATGGATAATTATAAACCGAATTTCTCATGAGGCTCACTCATTATCAAACATTCTTAGGGATTGTTTGGTTGTTGGTTAGAATTATGCATTTATTAGTAATAATTTTTTTTATTAACCAGAGTTTCTATCTTGCATAAAATAATACATGAATTTCCTCATAACTTATACATGTATTAGCTATGCGGATTCTAAATTGATAATCAACAATGTATTTGGTGTATTGAATTTTATACATAGCAAAAAATGCTACCAAACATGGTGCAAGTTATGCAAAATTTAATACATGAATAAATCACTCCTAGCCAATAATTTCGTTTGATAGCTGGTTAGAGTTATGTAAGTATTAGTTATGAGAGAATCTATGTATTATTTTATGCTAGTATTAGTTATGTAGGATTTAGTTATTCATTACATGTATTATTTATTTCACCTATCCAGCATAAAATAATACATAGATTCCCTCGTAACTTGTACATGTATTAGTTATGCGAGTTTCTAAATTGCAAACCAAATATCATATTAATTTATACATGAATTACTTACCTCCTAACCTACTACCAAACATGGTATTACTTAGGCAGGATTTCTCACTTAGACCCAATAGCGGGCAGCATGAAGCACTCTTAAGATAGGGTATGCTCTACCGCATGCCGTCCCGCTTGATCTGGCATGCAAGATTTAATACCAACATAACTCACCTCCAAAATCAGCTACCAAACGACCCCTAAGTGTTAAAATTATCACACTATCTAACTGCTAACCTTTTAGGAACTTGTCTATCTGACATGCTTTGTGTGCGAAATTATATTTTTCTTGCTGTTGGTAGTTACCCTTGATCTATTAAAACCTGAGCTCATGTAACAGTTTGCTAGTTACTTGAGATGAATTTGCGGAAATAAATAAAGCTGTAACATGATTCCTCAATTGTCTTGGTCTCCCTGAGGAACATATTTAGCTGCTTGAAGGAGTAAACAGATTTTGAGGATGTGTGCCTCTTTTAGTATTCTTACAATGTTCTTAGTCTTATATGTTAAGCCTACTGCTCATTTAGTCTATTTTGGTATGTGTTCCTTGGCATCAGATTATTGGTTACGAGCCATTCTGGCATGATAGCTTGTTAGCCTCCGCTTGCTTCGATGTTTTTTTTCTTTCTGAAAATCTTTTAGCCCACTCATTTGCTTTTTTTATTTTGGTATTTTGTTCAGAACAAGGCCAAAGCACTAAAAATATTATGTGCAAAACTATATGAAATAGAGCGACTCAGCAGTCAGTCAAGTAGATCGAAACTTCGATTGGAGCAGGTAGAATTTAGTGACATAAAAGAATATTTCTTCTGTTTCCTTTTTGGAATATTAATACTATATTATCTACACATGTTGAGTAGATTGGCAGTGGGGACAGATCAGAGCGGATCCGCACCTATAACTTCCCTCAAGGACGGGTTACTGATCACCGTGTTGGCATCACAACGCATTCCATAGATGATGTTCTCCAGGGAGAAGATTTGGATGCTTTTATTGATGCTCTCCTATTGCGGCAGGAAATGGACGCGATTGCATCATTCAGCTCCACGTAATGTTAGCTTAAAACAATGAGTAGTTACCCTTTATTGATCACCCTCTGGTGGAAGGATTGTGCATTGATAAATTGTTGTTTCCATTGTGCTTGAAGCTGTTATAAGAGCAGTAGTTTTTAACCTTTAAATACATTATAATGGAGGGATTTTATTGTTCTGAAGTTTATGACCTTTTAGTTTAATCGAGGATCAATTTTAATTTTTTGTTTTTCTGCCGATATAACTGTTGATAAAGTATGTAATGAAGCAACGCGATTTCTAGCTGGATCATAACAAGGTTCTATCGGAGAAATATGTTGAATAGCCAGTCTTCTATCAGAAGCAAAAGAATGTCTACCATAAGGAATACTTTTTTCATCAAACTGCATACAAATTTTTCCATCGGAATTTTGACTAATATGAGAATATTCAGAATTAGTGACAACATCGGTCATTTGCTTGGGGGTATAACAGAATCTAAAATTCAAGTGGTAGGAAAATTAATTTCTTCCCATTTTATAGGTCTTCTAGTAGTGACTTTAGATCTGGCGAAATTAGTTTCTACTAAAATAGTTTGATCAGATGTATCATGTAATTTACATCTAGGATTCAAAGTAGCAAGTAATTTATAATAGATTTTATACGACAAGCAAATTAATTCAGATCCAGGTGCATAGTTATAACCATTCGTTTTAACATTCAAGGTTAAAGCATCTAATATATTAGAATCAGTCAAAGATAACTGCAAATTGGGCTGAGCATTAAAATAAACTGGACCATAAGCCACCGTAGATTCTATCGAACCCATCAAGGATTGACGAAAATTTAAATTCCTCGCATCTCGTAGAGCAGCTAAGAAAGTCTCTGGTAACCCTTTAAGAGTTAAAGGTTTAAAAGCAATTTGAACCATGCCAATATGCAAAAAATTATACTGAGATTTATATAAATCAATATCATGCTTATTTAATAAACGAATAGTTTGTTCGGACGAGTTTAACGCCAAGGATTGTTCAGTTGTTTTAACCAACTGTTTATTAGAAATCTTATCAAACCAATCATAATCATAAATGGTTTTTATATTAACTTTTGGAATAGTCAATTTGTTTAACAAATCAAGGTTTTGAGGTATATCTACCTCTTCAAGTCGAGTGCTTTTAATATCTTCTTGATCCATAAAACAGAGAATATATCTATGCCGAAATTCTTCACATCAATTATATATATACCATGAAAGTTTCTAGGCTCTGATACCAACATTACAGGATCATTGACCTGACGGTGGTTCGCCCAGTCATAGATCAAGCAAGTCAATATCCTTAGAGGTAGTCCAACTACATAAGAATCGAAATACACAAGAATTTTAACATAGTTTCTCAGACTGCATGGTTTAATTATTTTACCCAAGCAAAGGGCCTGTCAAGAAGCTAATACATACTTTTATTAAGCCCATGTGTCTGATAGTTCTAACTGGGTATGAGGCGCCCTACTTATCAAACTCAATTTCGGGCTAAAAACCACGGCTCATCAGACGGAGTCATAAAGACAAAGCCATTAAAAGTAGTACTAGATCTGACTATACCTCAATCTCAGAACCAAGTCGAGAAGCCATACTAAAATTCTTTTATATTTAAATAAAGCTTAGATCCGTTCATGGTCTATATAAAAGAGAAGTTAGTTATTCGACATAGATATAATTTTTTAGCCGGACATAGTCACAACTTCCAGATCGGAGATATAAAAAGATTTAAAATTAAAGAAGAGAATTAAATTACCTTATAACAATGGCCAACAGGGCCAATGAGAAATATCAACAACTTTATTTATTCCGGCGAACCTCCGGCAAACCGAGAGCTTTACAAACTCAGAGAAACAAACAACTTAAAAAAAAAACTTTTGAAGAGAGTGTTTTTCGACGCCCCTCCTTCAAACTACAAAAGACCTTATTTATAGAAGAAAAAGGGATCTATCTACAGTGATCTACAGTGACCGATCTACAGTGATTTACAGTGACCATGGGTCCCTTATCAATGGGTCCCAAATGTACAGTAACAGTTTTTCTACTGTGATTTAACAGTGTTTATACTGTTAATCAATAGTGGTCATCTTGTCTTTCTTTTTCAACTCCCTAAGTAAACCTTCTGCTTTAGACAACATATCTTCTGTCAGGGTTTCTCTGATTCACAAGGCTGGGCCTCTTGAGCATCATCTGCGATATCATCACTTGTTTCACTTCTCATTGAAGTGTCTGATTTTTCATAGTGAGTGATATTGAGGAGTAGATTCCTCCTAATTTCATCCAAATACTCCTTTATCATTTCTTCTTTATTTCCATCTTGAATGGAAATTCTTCTGGCAATATGTTTGACGGAGTTGTCAACAATTGTTCCTTTGTGAGGAATGGTACCATAATCTTGGATTCTTTGAGAAATAGAGTCCAATAATTCTTGGCCATATAATGATTTAGTCATGGGATCCTTCTTCATTAATTTATCCCAGAAATTATTATAATAAATCCGATATAAACATGAAATTTGTTCTTCAGTAAAACCTACTTCCGGGGTCCATTTATGGATCCATGGAATTGAGAATTCTATGAAGAAATAAATTTGTTCAATTTGTTCTATATAACAAACATGATCTGAGTGGTATAAATCATTAAGGTCTGGTGAAACCTTAACCAATTTTTGTATAACTTTAAAAAGGGATCAGGTAAAATCTTTACTGTCGGTCCGTGGTATGACCACCAGTTCAAGAACCAGTTAGGAATTGGGTCAACAAATATCTTTGCACATACCTTGATAAAGCAAGTATGTTTATGCCTTTCATTGTTATAATAAAGGACTTTGCTGAAAGCGTTAATATAATCCCAAAAGTGAAATTGGTAGGGATTTTATTGAGGCTGATCTGCCTTTCTTTCATTGAGGATATACCCCAATCTTCAATTGATATAATATGCTTTATGATCATTTTGGAGAAGTTATAAACGTTCTCGCTGGTGTTATAACCTGAGAAGTACTGAAATTCAACACTACCTGTATTCGTTAAAATGGTCTCGTAATACAAGCGGGTTTTGTACGACTCTCCTGGGAATTATAATCCGTTAAGTAAATATGCTGGAATATCTTCCAGGGTTCTTCTTTTCTCTGTATTTCAGAGTTTTCAATAAGAAATATCATTTTTTTCTTTACTACCCTTTCATAGGATCTAATATCATCAACCTCTTCTTTCGCCACCGATGCAAAAATATCACTTTGGTTTTGAGATAAATATGCTCTCAGTTGGGCGTATAATGGATTATTTTCTGGAATATCATCCAGATGTATCGAAGAAGTAGCTTCTTTTGAAGAGCTTGTTAGTTTTACCTAGCTCATTCCTCCCCTTTGTATAATTGGAGAGCTGGATGAGGATCCGTATGATGATCCTGATGTTTTTGAGGAGGATGATCTTCCCCTTCCGCGAGTATAACGCCCCTTCCTCTAGCTTTGGTTACCCAAGGAGGATCCATTCTGCAAACATAGCATTTAGTTTTAATCATCTAAAAGGTCATAAACTTCAGAACAATAAAATCTTTCATATAACTCTTGTTCAATCATGTAATTAGCGACGATATCCATCACCATTCCGTCTATAATTCTCCATAAAATACGTTCCTGTAAATCTCTATTAAGAGGAACTGCCTTCAAAATTGTAACCAAAGTAATATCAGTAAAGAAGTCAAGAAAACCCATTTTTTTAAGAAGAAAGATATTCTCTAGATAAGAAGTCTGGGAGGGAATTATCACTTCCTTTTTTATAATGAATTTCGAAATCAAAAGGGGCTAATTGTGCCTGCCACCTAGCAAATATTAATTTGGATGCATCATGTTTAAAATCTTTATCAAACATATATTTGACTGATTGAGCATCTGTTTTTATCACAAATTTCTGATTGTAAAGATCATCCTGAAATTTTAAAACACATTTAACGATAGTTAACATTTCATGAGCTACCGTTGCATATTTTTTCTGAGCATCGCTCCATTTTCCTGAATGAAACCGAATAAGGTATTCATTTTTATCATGCGGGTTAATCTGTTTTAATATTCCACCATAACCTATATTGGACGCATCTGTCTCAACGATCTTTGGCCAAGCAGGATTAGCAAGGGTTAAACAAGGCAAAGATTTAACTCTTTCTTTAATAGTCTTTACAAGATCTGTGAGACTAGTAGTCCAAGGCTTCTTATGATCTTTTTTTAGCCTGTCGTATAACGGAGCTAAATCTCGAGACAAATTTTTGTAGAAGGGGGAAATGTAATTTAAACTTCCCAGAAACCGCTGCAATTGCGTCCTATCTGTAATAATATCAGGAAATTTTGATGCGAATTCAATAGATCGCTGAATAGGAGTCATTTTTCCTTGACAAATCAAATGACCCAAAAATCTAATTTCTGTTTGAAAAAGACTCATTTTAGGTTTAGATATGACCAAACCATTTTGAATAACTATTTTCTTAAAAATGTCTAGATGCTTAATATGCATTTCAAGAGTCTTTGAGTATACCAAAATATCATCAATATAAACTATGATGAAATCCAAATAAGGATTAAAAATATCATTCATAATCTTTTGAAATTCCGAGGGAGCATTTTTTAATCCAAAGGGCATTACATTCCATTCGTATTGTCCAAACGGAACATTAAATGCCGTTCTATAAGAATGGTCTTTAAATATTTGGATTTGCCAATATCCAGATTTTAAATCAAATTTTGAAAAGATATTAGCATCATATAATCTTGATAATAAATCCCTTTTGTTTGGAATAGGATACCTAATCCATTTTAAAAATTTATTTAAAGGTTTATAATTAATTACTAACCTGGGAACGCCTCGTTCTTTTTCTGCTGCGTTATTAACATAAAATGCAGTACAAGACCAGGGTGACTTGGAAGGTTTTATTAAACCCTTTTGCAATAAATTATCAATTTCTTTTTGGAGAATTCGACCAATTCGGTATTCATCTGACAAGGACGTGATTTGGTAGGGATATTTTCTTTAGAGAAATCATCTTCATATGGAAGAGTTACAATATGCTTTTTCCGATTCCAAAAAGCACTAGGATGATCAGCACAAATATCAATGGCCATTTTTTCAGAAATGAGTTTAATCTTTTCCTGTACTTTAGCAGATTTTAAAGTATCGAATATATTCATACTAAATATC